CCCCCCCCCCCGCTGCCCTGTCACCTAGTATGGGGGTCGGGGGACGCTGTCGGGGAGAGGCAAGGACAAGCGTGACCCCTGCTGGGCCTGAGGCCCCAACTGCAGACACGCACAGACGGCAAGGGACACACCTACACGCAATGCCACGTGGCCAGACACACACACACGTACTGCATAATCACAGTTGTACATGAACAGATGCACCCGTGCCACGTCCAGTCACAGGCTCCCAGATGGACACTTACATGCAGATACACACGTGTGGCACACACCCACCTGCTACATACACAGACACATCCGGGCACCTCCAGACAGACATTCGAGAGGACAAGTCCCAGACACACACACAGATGGCCAGAGAGAAACACGTAACGCTTCTATGCGTAGGCGTGCAGCCGCATGGCCACACAGAGACACCGCCTCAAGGCACGTGCATGTGACTGACATATGTCAACACACAGGGGTACACAACACACACTCCCCTTTCACTGAGAGCCACACACAGACACGGCCCCCAACCTGAGTGGCACCCTCAGGTGTGTCTGAGGCCTCCACAGTGAAATCTGGGTCTAGAGGCAGGACTGCAGCCGCCCTGAGCTCAGCCCAGCTGGCCTCCAAACCCCAGCCCCCTGGCTCCTGGCAGAGCCGCCTGTCTGCCCCCAGCCCCGAGCCGCTGCCTGCTGGGCAAGGGTCCTCTGGGCCCGTTTCCATTCCTCCAGCTGCAGGGGCAGCCCCACCAGCTACCACACCAACTGGGCAAGAGTGCCACCAGGGCCGGGTTGACCACGCATGCCCTGCAGTGCTGGCCGGCACACGTCAGGGACCTGCGGACGCATCTGCTCACGCCAGGGCCTGGTGCGCACACGCAGGCTGCTGCAGACATGGCTCAGGAACCCCACGGCTGAGCAGCAGGCTGGGCCCCTGCCCGCCGCCATCTGTCACTCCTGTGCAGCGGCGGTACGAAGCTAAGCTGCAAGCAGCTGGCATGTTAATTACAGGTGCTTCTGCAGGAAACATTCAAAGCAGCGTTCTGGGGAGAAACCACGAATGACACATGGTGATTTGGAAGCAGAAGGGCCGCCCAGCAGCTCTGGCAAGGAGACTTGGGGCAGGGAGACCCCAGCTGCTCCGGGCATCTCAGACCCAGCGGGAGGCTCCACACAAGGCATCCCTGGGCCTAGCCTCTCGGGACTCCTGGACCCTCTGGGACTGATGCAGGCCGGTGGGCGTTCTGGCCCCCACTGTCCCCATTACCGTGCCAGCTCGCCCCCATGCCAACATGCACCACACTGCCCACCATCTCCCACAGCCCTGGTCCTGGCCCAGCTCCTGGCTTGAATGTCACTGCCAACACAGTGAGCTCCAGGGGAGGCTGGTGTGTCAGGACCGCCCAGGCCCACGGGAGGAAGGGGCAGCACGGGCCACCAACCATGACCGTGACCACAGATGAGAGCACCAAGGCTGCCCAAGGAGGGCAGAGGCCTCCCCGGGAAGACACCCCTCGGCGGCACCCGGGACCACCACCCAGAAGTGTCCAGTCCCCCCAGGTCAAAGGCTCACAGACGCTACGGCCTGGCCCGGGGTTAGAGGCAGAAGGCAGGGCTGCCTGGGCCAGCGGACCCTGGGGGTCGGGGAGCTGGGGGAGAGGACGGCCAGGGATCCATGGCTGTCCCTGCCACCCGGGGAATTAATGGGTTAATTACACACCCTATAAAAAGCCCCTGTGATTTGGAGGGGCTGCCTGTCAAACCCTGGAACTCTGGAACTCGCAGTAAATCAGGGGCTGTGGGGATGAGGCGGGCGGAGCCCAGGACCCTGCCCTCCAATGAGCCGAAACGGCTGTAAATCTGCAGAAATGGCTTTTATGGAGCTCTGGGTTTTATGGTGTCATTAACAGTCCTCCTGATACTTAAGAGGAAATGAAATAAAGTCGTGAGGAGGGGGCTGGGGAACAGGGACGGGGATCCCCCTTGGCTGGAGTATCAGGCGGCAGCAGGCCGTCCCCCTCCTGCCCTTGGGTCCCAGACGACAGCCAAGGGGCTGGGGCCGCACACCCCGGTCCAGACTCTCCGGCCCAGCCGAGTATGGTCCGGGAGATGGTGTCAGGGCGCTGGGGGGCAGCTGCTCCACGGGTGGGACCCCGACACCAAGCGCTGCCCCGCAGGACCCAGAGGCAGAGTGTCCGGCCCACCCACACTCCTCGCAGGCCAGGGCTGCAGGGCAGGACCCCAGCAGGGATGCTCCCTCGCAGCCTCTGCCCACTCTGGCCCCACCCCCACCTGCAGCACCCACCCCCCCAGCCTGGGGGCAGCGCCTGGCACGGTCGGGGCTCCTGAGGGCCAGGGCGCGGGGAGCAGACAGCAGAAGCAGGGCGGGGGACTTACGGAGTAGCCTCTGCCCGAGACCGCCCGCGCCGAGCTCTGCAGGGAGGGAGAAGAGGACAGTCAGGAACCGGCGGCCGCCCGACGGCCGCCCTCTGCTCCGGGGCCCTGAGCGGGCAGAGGCCGCCACCCCCCCGGGGCCTTTGCCGCAACTCGACCAGCCTGCGGCCACGCCGAGCGCCATGGGGCCCAGACCAGCCTGCGGCCTGGCTTGAAGACCCACACCAGGAGCCTTCCGCCCCCAGACCTGGAGATGTGGTCCAGCCCAGTGGGGTCTCCCCACGTTCCTCGGGGATGGGCTCAGCCCTTGGCCAGATCTCAGCCCCTCCCAGAGGACCAACCCCACCTTTCCACACGGGGTTCTGGGCCAGGGGTCGACCCCCTCTCTGTGCTCAGGTCGACCTTTCCCTCACCACCCACGAGCCTCCCAGGTCACAGGGTCCAGTGGGAAACCTCGGGAAGCCTTCCTGGAGGAGGAGCTGGGCAACTGGGGCCTCAGATGTCAAGATGTGGGGGTCAGCTGTGGCCTGGAGGCTGGCAGCCACCCCAGAGGTCCTGTGAGGATGACCCCAACGATGCTTGATGGAGCTCCCTCTGGTTCAAAAGGGCATTTCGGATCCGACGAGAGAGACCAGTCAAGTGCATTTCACCAGCTCCCCAGGGCTGGCGGTGGTCACCAGGGCTGAGCCCTGAGGTCCAGGCGGACAGGACATGGTGACCGGGCAGGTGTGTGTGCGGGGGACACTGGCGCATTCAGCGAGGCCGGGCTTGTCTGAGGTTTGTGGGACCCACAGACCAGGGTCCAGACCGCACTGAGGTCCAGATGCCAAGATTCTTCTGGGAGGGGTGACCACTGCAGCCTGGACCACTCTGCTCTGCTCAGCTGAGGCCAGGCCACCCCTCCCCTCCCCAGGCAGACCCTGGCCGGCCCAGGCCAGCCCCTGGGGGTCTGCCAGGCCGAGCTCACCGCAGTGGGGGTCCCTCACTACCAAGGGTGGCCCAGTCCCAGGCCCTGCTGATGGGGGTGGGGAGGGTGCCATAATTGCCCCCAAGCTTGCGCCCTCACGCCGCTGGTGCTGTGCTCAGAATCGGTCTCCGTTCATTTACCCCGGCTGGCAATTAGAGGAGTTCGAACTAGGGCAGCCCCCGCGGCCCCAGACAATTACCAGCCTATTTTCCCATCTTGTGGCAACAAGATCGGAGCCGGGCAATTAGGCCCTCCTCCCGGCCTCCCGTGCCCGCCCTCCCCCAGCCCCCATTTATATGATAATGAGAGACGACTCGTTCCATTTAGCCCTGCAGAAAACCCATCTCTACTCTGCGGCCACTTCTGCAGCTGGGGGTCAAGACAAAGGCCTCTTCCTGGAGCAGCGCCTCCTCCTGGGGCCCCTCTGTCCCCACCCCTAGCCCTTACATCACCTGCCCATCCCCTTCTCCATGGTCCAGGGAGACCCGGGGGGCCCTGGAGGGCTACCCAGCACCCCCACTGTGGTGGGCCAAATCCCAGCGGGAGCTCCTGTGTGTTGCCTGCCTGGGTCATCCCCACACTGGGCCCCAAGAACACCCACCCTGGGACCTGAGCTCAGGGACCCGTCTTTTAGGCAGGACACCGAAGGGTGTCCCCAGACCCAGGCCAGCTTGTGCCTCGGCGGGGCACCCTCCCCTCCGCATGGGCCCCAGTGGCTGCCTCAGCATCCAGGCAGAGAGCTGGACTGCTGGACACCCACGCCACTGCCAGCCTGAGCTGACAGGCTGGTCCACCTGGGCAGGTGGGAGTGCTTCCAGCTTGTTCCCTGAAGTTCCAGACCTACTCACCGGGCCAGGGACGGAGACTCCCCCTGCCCTTCTTAATAAACACATCTGTGGGAGGCATTCCCCATCCACATCCCTGCCAGCTGCCAGCCTGGCACCAACCCCGAGCCTGTCCCCAGCGGGACACAGGACCTGCGCCCCAGCACGGTTGCCTCTGTGGGCGCCTGCCAGTGCCTCATCGTTGCTCCTCATTTAAATCCCTCCTAACGGGGAAGCCCTAATTAGTGAAAAATCATGTTTTAATGAAGGCAGATGCTAATTGTGAGCACAAAACCCTCAATTGAGACTCTGGGCCCCTAAGCAAACGGCTTGCAGTGTCTGAAGGTTGCGGGCTGGTCTGGCAGTCGCCCCAGGGACCCAGAAATGCTCCGGTGAGCGGCTGGGCTACTCACGTCACTGAGCTGGTCCCGAGAACTGCTCCTCCGGGAGCTGGTGGCTTCTCGGACGCTGTCGCCGTCACTGTTGTGGTCGCCCCCTCTGGACACCGTGACCTTCATCTGGGGAACGGGAGAGACGGGCTCAGCAAACACCCTGCAGGGTGGGGCCGGGGCACAGCCAGGCTCGGCCTCCTCCCCGCTCCGCGACCAGGTCCCTCTGGGCTGAAGCCTGGGGCGGGGGCGCCAGGGGCAGAGCCAAACATTTACAACCCACTACCGCCCATTCCTACCCAGAATGGGAAAGAAATGCCTCAGAGAGCAAAGGGCGGGCACTCAGCAGCATAAACTGCTGCCAGCTCTGTCTGTCCTTTCCTCCCGCTGGTCCAGTGGACGACTGTAAAGAGTCCGGATGGCGAGCGGGCCAATGGGCCACCCTGCCCTTTTCCACTCCACCAGGGCCGGTCATGGGGCATCAAGACAGGCTGGCGGCAATTCACCCCCGCTCCTGGCATGCACTTCACTCCCGGGCCTCTTCAGTCCTCACCACAACTCAAGGTGGGCAGTCAGGGCTGCAAGGTCTGCAGAGCCACTCCCCGCTCTGTGTCCTAGGGCCATTACTCAACCTCTCTGTGCCTCAGTTCTGTCATCTGCAGAACGAAGCAAGTAGTACTCACTAGGACAGGTGCTGCCATGTCATATATCTGCCAGAATTTCTGTAGACCTGGTGGGCCCTCAGGTCTTTGCTCCTCACACAAAATCCCTGTTAGATGCTCTGTGCCCACTTTACAGATGAGGAAACCAAGGCCTAGAGAGGTTAAGTGACAGTGTGGAAAGTGGACCCAGAATCCTGCTTGCATCTTTCTTTTTACTCGGAAATAGTTTCAAACCTCACAAAACTGCGGGGCAGGGATGCACATCACAGCCCCAGACCTCCACCCTCCCAGGCCCAGGAAGTCACCACCCCTGAACCAGGCCAGCCTCCACCCATGTCTTGCCAGCTCCTGGTACCCTCCTGGCAGGACCCACTGAGCTCGGCCATCCCACCACCTCCCGGTCTCTCCAGCCTCCCTGTGTTGGAACATTCCCACAGCTTCGTCTGGACACGCACCGACAGCCCAAACCTTCGTCTGCGTGTCTGACGTCTCCTAGCAGTACACCGAGGCCGTGGTTTTCGGCCTGCACACTGCCTAGCACCCGATGACCCCTGCTCCAGGGGCGGCCACTGTCCCTGTGGGGCAGCTTGGGGGCCGTGCAGGGCGTGCTAACGTCCTGCCCTCCTATCCACCCCCAGGCCTCCCAGCCCAGTGCACAAGCTCGCGGAGCTCAGGAGCGCTCAGAACCTGCGCCACGACGGGGTCAGGCAGGCCCAGTCCTCCACACCCAGCCGTTTTGTCATAAGCATCCTTCAGCCCCGGAGACCCCAGCCAGGGCGGAAGGTCAGGATGGGTCAGCAGGGTGCACCAGCTATGCTCTGGAATATTCTCGAGTCCCCAGGAAACCCCCTTATGGCCTGAGCCCTTCTTCCTGCAGACCCCAGGGTGGGCTCAGCCAGAAGCCTCTCTCGAGGCAGCCCCTCAGAGCCCCTGCTCCCCAGGCCAACCGAAGCCCTGAGATGGGGCACAACTCCCCAAAGCCACAGGCCCCTCCCTACATTGTTTGCCCAGCAGAGTGTAATGACAAAACACAGAACCAGTGACCATCCACAGTCCGGGCCTGGGTGCAAGGACCCAGGGGAGGGCAGCCCCTCCTGGGAAGCTGGAACAGCCACAGCCGGGGGGAGCCCACGCCTCAATACCACCCTCGCTCCCCATGGCAGGCCCAGGGTGGGGTTCCAGTCCTACCCCGGGCAGGAGCACCCCCACCGTGAGCCCGTGGCACCCCAGCCTCACTGGCGCCATCGTGCTCAGCCAAGCGGTGAGTGCGCAGCCCCTGGGCCAGCGCTGCCTCTTCCGACTGCGCTTGAGCTTGTCTCCTCCTCTGTGAAATGGCGGTGCCGGCAGAGCCCTGCACAGGCACTATGCGGTAAGAGGCTCTGCTTGTGAGCCGGAGCCCTTCTCCAGCACCGAGAAGCCACCAGGTGTCCCTGTTGCCCCCCAGCGGGCTCTAACTGCCCCGCAGGGATGAGCCTTTCTTGCCTCTGGACCCTGTGACAGGTCTCACCAAAAGGAGGGAATATGGGAGCCTGGGGGACCTTCCTCACTGCCTTGCTGGCAAGGAGCCTCTGCAAGAAAACAAATGCCCTAGTCCAGTGGTTTTCAAAGTGGGGTCCCTGGACCAGCGGCAGGAGCAGGACCCAGGAGCTTGTTAGCAGTGCAAGTGCGCACTTTCAGGCCCCACCCCAGACCTGCTGCGCCGTCAGGCCCTCTGGGGGATTCTGCTGTGGCTCCAGCTGAGACTCACAGCTCTGATCATTAGTAATCACCCCCATGAGCCCCACACTCACTGCTGGGGGACAGTATTTTGGGTTGGGCTCGGAGCAGGGTCCCTGCCCAAGAAGAAGAAGGCTGGACCCAGAGACACTGCAAGGACGGGAAAGGCCTGGCGCAGGGCCGCTGTGTATATTTGTGCAGGTTGCTCACTGCACAAGGACACCCAACGAAGCGGAAGGGGAAGCAGAGGCTGAAGAACAACCCCCACACAGCTGAAATGTGAGGAGGGAGGATGCCACATTCCACTTCATACATTCACACAAGTTGTCTCCTCTCTAAGCTGGGCCTCAGAGAGGATGCCTTATCCTGACTCCTCGGTGGTGCCCTGCAGAGGGGGACAGGCTGGGGTCTGTCATCCTTCCTCAGGCAGTCGGTTTTAGCTCTGAAAGCCCCATTTCCCAGAAAATCCTGTAAAACTGAGTCCTGTGCCCTGGGAACCACCCCAACCCTGGACTGGGATGGTTGGTCACCTTCTCTTCCTAGGCCAGGACGCCAAACAGCCCAAGCTGGGGTCTGGCTGTCCTGTAGCCCTGTCTGCTTCCTAGAGGCTCAGAAACGCTGCTAGCCAGCTATGCCAGAAGGCCAGGGATGCCATGCCTCCATTTCTAGCTGGAGCTGGAGAGATAAGATCAGATTCCCCGGGCACTGATTGTCCTGGGAGGGCAGCTGGGAGCCCCTGTGCCTGTGCCCACCCCTGGGCCTTGTGGTCTATCCATCTGCCCATCCATCCATCCTTTATCCATCCATCCTCCCTTCCACCTATCATGCACCATCTATCCATCCACCCACTCATCCATCCATCCATCCATCCATCCATCCATCCACCCGTCTACCTGTCCACTCACCCATCCATCCGCCCACCCATCCATCCATCCATCCGTTCACCTATCTATCTATCCATCCATTCACCCACCCGTCGTCCACCCATCCATCCATCCACCCACCCACCCAAGGCTTACCGAGTGCCTATGAGCTGGCTCTGTTCTGGGCAATGAACACAAACAGACTCCCCTGAAGCCCACAGAGAGGCCAGCACGTGGTTGGCAATGGCCACAGGTGCTTTGAAAGGACAACAGCAGAGAAGAGCAAAGAAGGGTCGCCAGGGAGGGCTTCACTGAGAAGGTGACACTCTGAAAGGTGAGGAGGTGGGTCACGAGACTATCGGGAAGGGTGGGGGACGGCACTGCTGGGAGCAATGAGGCTTTCCGCGAGGTGTGCAGAATTCCTGAACACGCCACAATTGGCTTGCGCGAGATGGCACACCACCAGAACGTGTCCTCAGGCTGGCGGGGCCAGCACTCCCCTTGAGACGGGTGGATATGTGGAAGCAGGGCATTGCTCTCCAGTTGGCAGGGTCAGGTCACGGCCCTCAGAAGGGTGGGGAGAGGACACTTCCCTCAGACCAGCAGGGTTAGGGCCACCACCCTCAGACTGAGGCACCCCAGGAGCACCTGGGGTCCTGGGCTTTCTGGCCAGCAGGGCTCCCCTCCCCGCCCGGGGTTCTGTGGCACAACCCAGGAGGAAGCGTCTGTCTCCCAGGCCGGCCGCCAAGCGCACTTGGCCACAGAGAGGCAGCATGTGGTTCCATTTGGTGATCAGACCCCCAGAGTGTGGGGAGTGGGTGGCCAGTCCAGGGGGTGCGGCTGAGAAGGGGATCAAGAGGTGGGACCCAGTGGTGTCCCCAGGCTGCCCCTCAAGCTGCACACAAGGTGGCTTCCCCCTGGTGGGGGGGAGGAAACGCCCTGGGCCTGGGATGCCCTGGGGCTGGCTGGGGGCGCCAGGCACCCGTCTCTCCAGCAGTGAGCAGGCTCACGGGGACCCCAGACCCTTCACAGACCAGCACCCACCAGAGCACACAGATACGGGGGTGACTGAGAGCCCCTGGACGGACCCGCGTGTACCTATCCCGGCCTCTCCTGCCCACATCCCGACCATCGCCCACCTGCTCCTGACACCTGCCCAGCGCCCCGCACGCACACCACCCTGCCGAGACCCTTGGCTGAAGCAGAGTGCACACAGGGCCCCCACGACCCCTGGAGCCCTGCCGTGCAGACGGAGCAGAGGCGCCCTCCCTCCGCACACCCGACTGCTGCGCGGATGCAGATGCACGCGCCACCTCTGGCGACAGTGGGGTGGCGGCCCTGGAGCTGTGCAGTGCACAACCCGGACAGCCACACGCGACAGCCCCTGCAGGAGCTCACGCCCCACCAGACGGTTCTGCCCGCAGACGAGCACCAGCCCGTGGAGCTCTCAGGAGTGCACACGAGCACACACACATTCTCAGGGCCTCTGGGCTCTGCCCCGTGCCTCTCCCCGCTGCCCCCCAGGGGTGGGAGGTGCCCTCTGACCCACGGCTGGTCTGCACTGGCCTCCAGGATAAGGAGAGACCCACTTGGCCTCCACACCTGTGGGCCTGGGAGGGGAAGGGGTGGAGGATGGCCTAGTGCAGACCCTGGGGAACCCTGAGAAGGGGGCTGCGGCTGAGGCCACCCAGAGTCTCCTTCAAACCAGTCAGGGGACAGGCTCTGAGGGGTGGGGCAAGGGTCAGGCACATCCCAGCGAGAAGGGAGTCAGGAACAATGCCGCCATGGCCAACTCCACGACGCCCCTGCAGAAACAGGCTCCCGACAGCCCAGGCACCCCATCCCGTGTCCACTCAGCGAACACGCACAAACACGCACGTGCACACTC